GCTCTGGGCACCAATTTATTTATTTGCTTTCTGTTAAGCAATATGGTAGCAGTTCACCATTTTTAAAGTGTAAGTTAAAGATAGAGGGTACACGTGATGATTTCAGAAAGTCACACAGGAGGAACTGACACAGGGAAGGACGAAGGGCTTAGCTGAGCCAAATATCTTGCCTTGCACAGTGGATATATGAGGCTACATTTGTCATCCAGGGTGCAATCCTGCACACACAGAGCTGGAGGAGGGGAGTCCTTTCTGACAACTGCACTGATTAGCTAGTGCCCTGAAGAATGACGTCTGATTACCTTTATCTTCGGCTGCAGAACTGCAAATGTCACTAATGGTCATAAAATCATCCAGTCTTTTTCGAAATACAACCAAAGTAAATTAATCTATTGAGCTCAGTTTATTCAATACTTCTTACTCTGGCAAAACTCCCAAAAAATCATTTGCTTACTGCATGTCTCCACCATATGGTGTCATTCAATGCAGACTTTCTTTCCTGCATTGAAATCCAAAATTTAATGGAGTCGAGTCACCTACAGAGTTTTTCCAGCTCAAACCTACTAATGTAGTTTTCTGTCAAAGAGGTCACACAGCACTTTCCAGTTTGATACATAAACCAATACCAGCATGAATCTTCTTTTCATAATTAAAATCAAACTCCTCTGGTTTCAGCAGGTTTGAAAGAAGTATTTTGCCCTGTGCAGAGAAGAGCCAATGCTCAGCACTGGACAATGTCAGCAGTCTCTGTCTGGTTTCAGAACTTCAAAGTCTTCGCTAGTGATTGGTATACTCTCCTATCTGCAGGTGATTTCTCATATCAACCTCTCAGCAATCAGTAAAATAAACTAAAAATCAGGACATTGAACTGTACTGAAAACTAAAGTAGTGAGACACTTATAATACTTGAAAGCATTTTAACAGGGCTGTTTTAAATAGAGCCTTACTACCAAGGAACAAGGGACAAAATAAAGAATTTTTAAGTATGAGGTACGCCTAGAGCAGGCAAGACATACATGCTGGTTTTCCTAGAAACATGAGCTCAAGACCAGGAGAAAGATGCCTGACTATGCATTTAGCTATGCTGTTATTTTATCCTCTTCACCAGATGTGCCTTATGTCAGCTAGACACTCTGTGACTCAGTTTCCTCAACTATAAAACAGGGCCACACTTTGACAAATCTGGTTTTGGCACAATGATGTCATCTTCAATCAATGGTTTTAGAAAAACACTGGCCATCCTCTGGCCCCAGCATTTATCACTAACATACCACGTCTCTTGGTAAAGATTGTTATTTCAGTGACAATAGGAAGCATTATTGTGACGAGGAAGCCACAAGCTCTGCTTCAAACAGCATTTCCTAAACTTTGGAAAGCAGCACATCCTTTCATGTAGCAGCCTCCCTTCGCCCTTGCCATGTGCCCACTGCAGATGCTGCTTAGCGGTGCCAAAGACTTCCAGCTCCACACATCTCTCATGCTGTGCCATTTTATGGCTCACCCTTCCCTCCGTGCTCCAACTATGACCTTCCACCACCCCTGCCCCACAGCTGTGAGAAATTCTCCTATGCTCTGCAGAAGAAGGCACTGCCCCTCTGTACTTACTCACTTGGACGAACACTGAAATAATTTAAACCTCAGCATTAACCCTCTTAGCGCCGGAGTTGGAGCAAGCAGTCGTTGAGGGGAGTTTTAGCTCTTCCAGTGCCATCAGGACATGGCAGGAACGTGCTCACAGGCAGCTACCATGGCTCAGATGACAAGCAGTAAATTGTTACATCAAGCTGTCTGGATGATTTCTGACTGCTGACCCATACCCCCAGGCTGCCATAGCTGCTTTGGATGTATTTGCTGCTGTTTCAGAGTTTCTACCACAAATGATTATTCTGTTTTAGTGAAAGCTGAGAATCTAGAGAGATAGTGCATTGCTCTCCAGTCCTCTGTCCAGTCCACCCAGCCCACCAGACACCCCAAAGTGCCACCCACCCTGCCTGAGAGGCTGTAATTCAAAAAACAACTCCAAGAAGTGGAAAATAGACAAAGAGGCAGTAAAATGTTGTATCAAATAACACGAGCACTGGCGAACACCCAGTCACCCTCTCAGCACACAAATGCCTGGATAAGAGCAGCCAGATCCCAGACTACAGCAGCTTATCAGGACATCATAAGGCACAAAAGCAGATCTGGCAGCTGCAAGCCAAATGTGTCCCACAAAGCACTGCACTGCTGGAGGCAGCTGCCCTCATCTTTACAGCAGATGTCCATCCCGTGATGGCTTTGGTGCCTGGTGTGACATTCCCCATCACCAACCCATCTGAAATAGAGCAGATCCCACAGGCTTTATCTCAGTCTTCTTCTCTGTGACCCAGCAGGTAGGGATGCAGCCAGACTTAACCCAGTGAAGATGAGAAGCTGCCTTTGGTGCTCTTGCTTACACCTCTTCCCTTGCATGAATCCTTCAACTTATGTCCAGAGGGCTCCTGGACAAAATAAGGCTTTACCCTTGGGAAAGCTTGTTCCCCATTGCTATTGCCTTCTGCTTGTGCTCTCTCTTCATGCAGCATCCTCATCAGTGGTTCTACATCCATGGCAGCTCTGTCACCACCCCTCACCCATAGCTCCAACACTTCCTTCTGGTCCTCACTGCACTTTGCCAGCATCCCACTTCTCCCAGCCCAACTACTCTGACATCTAAACCCAAATTGTTTCCAATACCTGCATGACCCTGGTCCATCATTCAACCTTCCTCCAACCTCAATTTAAACTGCACTACACCCTCACCAGTCTCCCAGCATTGCCCTCCATCCAAGAGACCCAGTTGTTCCCTTCAATCCCTGCTAGTACCTCTCAAATAATTTATTTCTTTCTTCCAACACTTCTTTTCTCCCTGGGATCTTTCTTTCTCTCATCAACATCAAACCTCCACTTCCAGTCTTTCCCATAGTTTATTCTTATTTCTTCTTCTGAACCCAGACTGTCCCTCATCGTGCCAGCCCATGGCAGAAAACTCCAGAGCACACAACATCCCAGCAAACTATCCTAGCCAGCCAAACACTGACTGGGTTTTCCCACTGACTCACCAGACTGCCCATCCCACCCAACTGGCAGTTTTCTTTCAGCCCCTTCTCAGGCTGTGTATCAAAAACCAGCCCTTCCACTTCAGCAAGCTCTCTTCTAGCTCCCTCAATTTCTATAGACAGGATCCAAGTCTCAGGGTTGTCTCCTCCCACCTTGACTGGGTTGTCCAGTGCACCTTTAGAGACACAGCTGCTCCCAGACTTTTCAAAGGCAGTCTTTCAGCACTGCCTTCCATCCTTGCCAGGCTCTTCCACTGCTCCTTCCCTCCTCAGGCCACGGCCATCCTGGTCCCCAGCCCTCCCAAGCACCCACCCCTCCATCACACCTTTCACACCTTGACCGAATCAACTCCAGGCATGCTGATTCCATCCCAGCAAAGAGCCCCCCATAGCATCCTTGAGCCTCCCAGCCCCTGTCTAGACCTGATTCACAGAATCACAAAATCAATTAGACTGGAAAAGACCTCTGAGATCACCAAGTCCAACCTATCACTGAATACTTACACGTCAACTAGAGCGTGGCACCAAGTGCCATGTACAATCTCTCCAATCTTTCCCTAAGCACCTCAAGGGGTGGTGACTCCACCACCTCCCTGGCCAGTCCTTTACAATGTCCAATCACCCCTTCTGTAAAGAAATTCATTCTAATGTCCAGTCTAAGCCTCCCCTAGCACAGCTCGAGGCTATTTCCCCCTATCCTGTCACTTTCCTCCTCTTCAGACTACACAATCCCAGCTCTTTCAGCCACCTCTCATAGAACTTGTGCTCCAGGCTCTTCACAAGTTCTGTTGCCTTTTTTAGGACTCAACCCCCTTTTTTGTGTCCCCCATAACATCTGTGTGCTGCCAGAGCCCCAACCCCAACCAGGGTCTTCCATGGCTGGAGGCCCCAAACGTTCCCTGTTCTCATTCCTTTATATGGGGGCCTGAACCTGCCCAGCCCCAGGCCCCCATCCTGACTGGATGTCCAGGTGGCACTCAGACCCCAGGCTGGTGTCACACAGTCACAGGATGGGGCAGGCTGCAAGGGACCATAGTCCGTCACTGCTCCAACCTCCCACCCAGGCAGGGTCATCCTGGAGCACATGGCACAGGATCGTGTCCAGATGGTTCTGGAATATCTCCACTGAGGGAGACTCCACAAACTGACCAATCTGTTCCAGCGTGTGGTCACCCGCACGGCAAAGTTCTTTCTTGTATTCAGGTGGAGTTTCCTGTGCATCAGTTTCTGCCGTTGCCTGTTACCCTACTGCCCGTTGCCTGTTCCCTTACTGCCCGGCAGCACCCAGCAGCGCCTGGCTCGCTCCCCTGGTTCCATCGCCT